CTGGATGCTGCTGAGATGCAATATGATCTAATCAATCACCCTATGGCCTGATCAATTCGTCCACCTGATTTCCCAGTAGGGAAACTAAGGCACTGCCGCCAGCCTGTGAGATCATGACAGAGCCGGGAATGAGCCGGCCCCAGCCTGGTTGTCCCAGATTTGGCTATCAGCGGGATGTGAGAAGAGAGCAAGGGGGACCCCGCAGCCGTACACTGCTCTCCAAAAAAACCCCAAACCCAGGTGGATTTTACACTGACACCATGAGCCATCAGTGGCAGCAGCTTTCTCTATATTGTGAGTTTTGCCTTGATTTCACCTTCAGATTTAGTTTTTGTTCAATGCGAGGTATTTGCCACGGGTATATTTAGCTGTTGCTGCACACAACTGGCCCGTGCTGCTTCTTGGCATTCAGGCAGGTGCTGTTTAATTAGGACATCACCTCGTTACCAGCTTGTGCTCTCATTCAGCCAAGATTAGTGGGCGGAAAGATGAAAAGGGGGATATGCCACCAGTGGGTATAAATAGATTGATCTGGTTATTATTATTTATTGCTCAGGAGTGCTCTCACCCCCGGCCGCGTGCAATACAAGCCAGGGACAGGCAGGCAGGTGTCCACCAAGGGAAGATCAGAAGATGTCCGCAGCTTTGGCTTTCTGGGCTCAGGGGCTCCGGATTTGGCCCCGCCGTGTCACGCTGCGTGTCGCCCAGCCTGCCTGGGCTGCCATGGTGGTCCTTCCCACAGACCGTGGTGAGATGGCATCTCTCCCTCGCTCTCCGCAGGTGCTGAAGGGCTTCCCCGACTGCCTGCAGGCAGACATCTGCCTCCACCTCAACCGTACGCTGCTCCAGAACTGCAAGGCTTTCCGAGGAGCCAGCAAAGGCTGCCTGCGCGCCCTGGCCATGAAGTTCAAGACAACTCATGCGCCGCCTGGAGACACCCTGGTGCACTACGGAGATGTCCTCACCACACTCTACTTCATCTCCCGGGGCTCCATTGAGATCCTCCGGGAAGACATTGTGGTGGCCATCTTAGGTGGAAAAGTCCTTCCTTCTGGGAGGGCGAGGGGCGATGGGCAAGGGGCGAAGGGTGATGGGTGAAGGGTGATGGGCAATGGCAAAAGGGTTTTAGGTGAAGGATGATGGGTGATGAGCAGTGCACAAAGGGTGGCAGGTGAGGGGCGAAGGACTTCTCCATGTCCAGGAGAACATGGACAACATCTGGCTGGTGACCTCACCAGTGGGCAGGGGATGGAGGATCCCCTGTAAATGCGAGGGAGAGGCCACAAAGGCATGAGGAGAGCAGGGTATGGCTCAGCAGTCCCCAGCCGTCACTGATGACCCACTGGCCTGGCTCAGTCTCCCCATCAGTGATGGCTTTCATGGTGTAATCCCCAGCGTCCACAATCAGGGTTGAGGTTGCTGGGCATCCCCTTGTCCAAAGTGAGGTCTGCTGGTCCAGTACATCTGGAACTGGGGTGGGTGCCCACCCCCCTTAATGAGCTGTCTGTTGGCACAGGGAAGAACGACATCTTTGGGGAGCCCATCAGCCTCTACGCCCGCCCAGGGAAGTCCAATGCTGACGTGAGGGCCCTGACCTACTGTGACTTGCACAAGATCCAGCGGGAGGACCTGCTGGAGGTCTTGGACATGTACCCAGCCTTCTCTGACAACTTCTGGAGCAACTTAGAGATCACCTTTAACCTGCGAGATGTGAGTGCCAGGGCTGTCCCAGGGAGGGATGTGGTCAATGCCTTAAATTTGGCAAGTGGGAGGGCTGAAGCAAGGATGTCAACAGGTGCTCCTCACTCAGTTTGATGGTGGATTGGCCAACAGCCACGCTTCCCAAGGCACTCTCCATGGGGTTACGGTTTCCCCCACGTGCCCAGCAGGCACGTGCATACTGCACATTCCTGAGCTCTTTTTTAAAAGCCGTGTCAGTAGTACCCTGTTCTGCAGCACCTGTAAATCATCTCCAGGACTGCTCCAGCCTGGGCAAGTGGGTCACGCACATGTTTTGATGCTGCTGAAGTGAGAAGTATTCTCAAGCTTCATTGAGTTGGGTACCAGCTTCCTCTGAAAATTGCTTTTTAAATAATCAGATTTGCAATCCATGAAAGGCTTGGAGCATTTTTGTCGTTGCTGTTTGACTCTTAAACTTTATGACTGGACTTTGTCCTTTCCTGATATTTTTTTCAGAGACACTTGCCTGGTAAGATAGAAAAGGAAGTCAAATTCATTGTGTGTCCTGTCCCACCCTAGGACGTCCTGCCCCACCTTAGGGTGCTCCTTCCCTCCCCATGGCCCTGACACCCTCAATTCAGTCTCAGAGCACCGAGGCCAGCCTCTAGGATCCCTTGAGCTATGCCACTGATCCAGGAGTCACTGGGTGGGACAGGGCAGCGATGGAGAGCCAGAGCTGGAGACCAGCCCTAGGAGGATGCTGAATGGGCTGTAACCCCCATGGCACCCAGGGTCATGGCAACCATGGATGGGACGTGGCACCTATGGATGGGAGATGGCATCCATGGATGGGTCTTGGTGCCCATGGATGGAACACGGCACCTTTGCCCTGGTGACCAGCCCCTCTCATCCCTCAGGCAGACAGCGTTCCCCGCTCACCACTCAGCGAGGAGTATGACTGCACCTACCGGCGGGTGCGCCGACGCAAGCATTCCCTTTGCCAGCCCAACAAGCCTGGTGAGTCCCACAGCGTCGGCAGAGCCTGGCTGGCAGGGCTGGGGAGCGGGATCATCATTTAATTACTGCCCTAAAGCAGAGGCGGCTGTCAGTGCCTCTGTCCCTGCAGACCTGCCTGTATGTCCCCACCCTGGGGGCACCCATGCTGCCTTTCCTCCCTCTTCTTAGGATGCCCCAGCCCTACAGGCACCCTAGAGGGGATGGGGGCTGATTTTGCCATGTGTGCTACTCCCCAAATTAACCTGTTGTGCTGCCCCACAGACCCAGACACGGGCATCTCTGATGCAGAGCAGTATCACACCTACTCAGAGCTCACCAACCCGCAGGACCCGCTGAGTAAGGACCAGTGGGACGACCTGGGCAGCAGCACCACTCCCTGCTCCCAGACCAGCGATGATGAGGCCAAGACTGGCAGCCATACAAAAGCTGAGCCCGTCCCCACATCCAAAAAGGATGACTTTGCTCTGCCCACTCTCAGCCTCGTCACCACCAGCGCCGGCAGCACGGAGGTCGGCAAGCAGGCGGCAGAGAGCAGCCAGTCCTACACAGGTACCCACAGCTGCAGCCAAAGCTGGCAGGAGGGTGGTGAGAGACGCTCGGGCATGGTGGCCTTGTCTTGGGGCAGAGCCAAGCAACTTACGTGGATTTGAGGAAAGCCATGTTTGTGCCTGGGGTCTTTGCTGCCTTTTGTCCCCAGTAGTATCTACTCTGTCCCTCCCGTGCCCTGCAGTTTCTCCCAGCACCCAGGGACCCCTTTGGGATTGTCTCAAGGTGCCAAATGCTATATGCCTTCCATAGGTGTGTTGGGTGCCAGTGTGATGGACTGTCCGTGAGCACCACGTATGTCAGGGTGATGGCTCTCCATGAACGTGTTGGGTGATGGAGTCTGAAGCACCTCCATGCGAGGGGGGCTGGGGAATGCAAAACAGAAGCCCTGAGATGTCTCCTCTCCTTCCAGCCACCCCCATGGACATCCCCAACATGTTCACCTTCTGGGAGGACCGAAGGCCGAACCACCACCCGGAGCCTTTGCAACACATCTCCTTGGTACACAGCTCGCGGGACATCCCCCTGCACAGCGACTACAGACCAGGGCAAATCGAATCCAGGCTGGAGCTCCTGCAGGCCCAGCTCAGCAGGTGAGCAGGTCCCCAGGGCACAGGGTTGGAGAGCACCCGGGGGGCTCTGGGCCATCACCTTCTCCTGCTCTCCAGGGGTGGCTGCAGTGGGCTCTGTTACAGCAGATGCCACCTCCTGACCCCCTGGTACCCTGCATTCCTTGGGGAGGTGGTGGGAGCATTTTGCAAATGCAGCGGCTTCCCAAACTGCAAGTCCTGGCCCTGGCTGCAGCCCAGCACCTCATCTGCCACTGTCCCACCACCTCTGGGATCTGCCACTTTGCCACTGCCTCCAAACTGGATGCAATCGCAGACACGAAATCACCCACGGGCTCACGACCTGAGCCCTTTGCAGGCCTCCTCCTCCTGTTGCAAAGAGCTGCAAACATCCTCTTGCTCGAGCAAATGAGCCTCGGGCACATCGTTGCCCTCTAAATAAGAAAAAAGACATGATTTTTGAATGAGAAGGAAGAGCCCACACCAGAGTCGCAGGTTTAAGGCACCGGGCAGCACCCACATGAGTGGCTGGCTCTCCCACCCATGGCTGCTGTCCATGTTAAGCTCACTTAACCACAGTGCCCACACACGTATTTCAGCATCTTGCCAGCGTGCCATGCCCGGCAGCAGGAGACAGATCTCCTACCCACTCCATAAGAACTACCAGGACCCTTGCCTGCAAGGGGGGCTGTGCCCAGTCCTGCCAGAGCTGCTCATTTCATCAAGGACAAGGCAAAAGGAAGGGACTTATTCTACTTTTCCATTTCCTTTTGTTCCTCAGTTAAAAATGGTTGGCATCAACCTGCCTTGCTCCCATCTGTCAGCACAGGCAGCTGGCCTGGAGAATTGATCCAGATTAAAACTAACCATTGCAATTGTTTCCCCCCTCCGGGGTAGTTTTAGCTTTGTTCAGTTCCCTGCTCCAGATCCCAGTTTGGCTCCACAAAAAATTGGGCAGGGGATGACTGAGTGTGGCAGGAGAGAGACGGCAGGATTGATCTCTCTCTGGCAGTGCTGGTTTGAAGCTCTCTAAAATCCTCACCAAGCAGCACTAGGCAAAGCACCATCACCCTTGGGCAGCTGAATCGGCACCTCCTCCCCAGTGCCTCCCCTTCCCAGCCACGGGTCTGGCTCTTGTGGGATGCAGCGGGATGCACTGCACTAACTGGCTGCTCTTGTCCCCAGGCTGGAGTCCAGGATGTCGTCAGACATTAATATAATCCTCCAGCTCCTGCAGCGCCAGCTGTCCCAAGTGCCGCCCGCATACAGCCCCATCTCACCGTCCTCCCACAACCTGGCCATGTACAGCATGCTCCCGCGGAGCCTGGAGCCGCTCACCCCCTGCACACCCCTGGGGGACGAGGAGACGACGACCCCGGAGCAGGTAAGGCCACCCCTCCTGGCTCAGCACCGGCCAAGCTTCCTTCTTCCCCAAGCAGATGGGACCTGAAGGGCCAGCGGTTCCCTCCAGCCTCCCTGCAGGCAAAGCACAGCCAAGCACTCGTGGGTACAGGCAAAGCCAAGGGGTCTTGGAATGGGAGTAGATCTACCTAGAGATGCTTCTGTCACTGCATCGCTGATTTTGGTGCACAGCCTGCCATCTCCAGCACTACCAGGTTGCCCCATCAGTAGGGAAGGGAGTGGGTTCCTCTGCTCTGAGGCTTCCTCAGGCAAAAAATAACATTTTGGGACTTAGGGCCTGATGGGGTGAGGAGAGAACGTGGCTACTTTGTTTTGCTTTTGCCATAACCCACCTGGTTCCTCCTTTCCCACCAGAGCCCGAGCTACACGGAGATAGAAAAGTTCCACTTGAAATCCAGGGACTCCTTGTCAAGCGGGATGCACCTCACTGTGGCATCCGACGAAACCATGACGGTCTACTCTGAGCAGGAGCACCATTCCCCACCTCTCCCGAACCCAGAGCCTCCCCACCAAAGGGCACCAAATACCCAGGGACTCTTCCAGGGCTCTCGTTTCCCTTCCCTCCCTGAGCACTTGGAGGCATCTTCTGAGCACCAGGACATTCAGAGACACCTCTCCGACCCAGTGCTTCCTGGAAGTTAGAGATGTGGGGGCTGCGAAGCAAGTCAAGAGGAACCTCAACTGCGAGCTCGGTCAGTTGATGTTGATTTTGACTGCAAGGGTAAGACGGAGGACAATGCCATTGGCTCAGGGGTATAATTTGTAGCTGTCTTCTGCCACCGTGAAAGGAAGCGTAGAGTGGCTGGCTTCCAAGGTCAACATTTTCCAGCGGTTCCCATAGAGTAGATTTCATTCGCACATTATAGTGAACCCAGAGCAGTTCTTTCTTACGGCCACCAACAAGCTGCTAAGCCAAACAGTACCTGCCGCCTCTTCCTTGCCAAGGCTTCCTCTCGAGAACGGCACAAGCCAAGTGAGCCATAGCAACCGGACGAGAGCAAATCCACGGCTCTTAGCTGCAAGGCAACTTTGCTGTCAGCTCTTTGGAGCAGGGACCATTGCGTTGGTACTGGGCTTAGCCCAGCGGAGCTTGTGGGAATTACAGAAAGGGTAGTCAACAGAGGAGGAGGAGGAGATCTCCACAGTGTGGTATCGGGGGGAGCTGCAGGTGGGAAGCCCATGGCAAGGACAGAGGACAGAAGCTATCCTTGTCCTACTTGACTGCCAGTGAGAAACTAAGGGCCAACAGCCCCTGCCACTTCAGCATGCTTCAGCACGAGTCCTAGGGCACTGACTTCTCCAGCAAGGCTGATCGTGCCTTGCAAACCCCAACACGCATCCCACAACTCCCCAGATAAACCGAACTGGTCACCAGTCTGGGCATAAAGCACAAAACTCAAAAGCACAATCCCAGAAAGCCGAAAAGCCCCACACCTCATCTCCAGCCCTTCCTCCCAGCTTCTCTCTTTTGATAAAGGTTTGATAGATGCTTCCTCCTCCCCAGCCCTTTCCCCAGCAGACTCCCGCAGCATCCCCCGTAGGAGAAGCCCACTTAGCACTGCCGCCTTGCCGTTCGGTTAGATGCTGTGACAGTCCTAGGCCGCCTGCTCAAGTAATGTATCAAGCTCCCTTTGAGAGTAGTAAAACTGTGAGCATCTCTTTCTCTGGAGTTTTAGTGTACACTTTGCTAATAAAGATGTTTTTGGCACCTAATGTGGATTACAGCTGTGTTTGTTGGGAGCATCCATGAACTCATCCCTGGCAGTACAAAGCACAGGTGCTAATTTGCAAAGACCCCTGAAAAGCCTGTGGTCAAACCCCAGTTGCTTCATCCAGGGAGTGTGGGGCTGATGGAGCCCATGTGTAGGTCTTACAGGTCAAGGGGGGGCTTTTCTGAGCAATTCCTTCCCAATAGGATGCACTTCAGGCTCAGCAGCAATTCACAAAAGCTTTTCTACAACACCAGCCTGCTGCTGTTCTCCTAGGTATGAGAAATGACCTCGCAAACACACCTCAGGCAAAGAGTCCTTGCAGCAAACGGGACTTCAGATGAGCACAGCGATACCTGGAGCCCAACCTACATCCCTTGCTGAAGGGGACATGGCTCCTGCCCAAATGGGACTGCTCCTTCAGGAGGGCTGGACCCAGGATCACACATAAGGGATCCCATATGGCCCCCAAGAGGCGAGGACAGACCCCTTGCCCTCAGCAGCGGGGTAAACCTGCCTCTCCCCAGCTGATCTCTCTCCACCAGGCGCCACA